CCCCAAAACCCCAAAACCCCAAAACCCCATATAAAATAAATTTTATTGCATAAATAAAATAAAATAAAAATGAAAAGATTGAAGCTATTATCAATAATAGTTGGAATAATGCTTTGGATTACAAAAGCAGAAGGTGAGACACAGAGACAAGAGTTTGAGAAGAGGTAAGAGTCAGGTTATTATTATTAGAGGTATGCAAGAGACTTGAAGCAATCAGAGGAGTATGAATATCGGCATAGATGATTTTGAGAGAAAGCTGATGAAAGTAAAGGACTATACAGATTGAAATATCCTTGATGCACATCTCGGAGATAGTGGAGACATTTATATTAGCGGCTATGGCTCTAGTGAAACAAGTGAATTCTTTATCTTGAGAAGCAGCGAAGATTTCGATATGAGGTGGATGAGAGTAGACGGAAATCGGAAGCTGTATATGTCAGTCGATCCTAATGAACAGAGGGTCTTCATTGCTGAGCATTCAACTAGTTATATAGGTAAGACATCAAAGATAGCTAAAGACAATTTCTTGCAAAAATTTGAGTCGGATAGAAAACAGACAATACTTTTGTTGGATCCTTTAGATTCCAAGAACCATTAAGGTGCTGTTAGGTTTTTATCAGAATTTGGGAAAAAGATTACTCTTTAGTTTTCTTTTCTAAGATTGATAATTTAATTGGTGGCATTGGAGTGTGTTGAAATCGTTAACTTATAGAATTAGAAGAGATTCCAGCAGGAACTGGAGCTACAGGCTCTAGATATAATGTGTAAGATATTGTCAAATAGCGTCCTCAAATAAAACTTATTCCAGGATTTTTATTTCACATAAATTTTTAAGGTCTTTTATCATATCTCTTAATATTTCTGTTTGCAGTGAAAGTTCCATATTATTTAATTTAAACATGTCTTTACCAGAGTCGAGCTTTAATGAAATTTATTTATGTTCCCATTTACCCATTGATTTATCAAAATAAAACTTAAATTTTATTTTTCATGTTAAAAAGCTGATTAGAAGGTAGATATATTTTGTTATAAAAAGGCCCTTCACTTGTCTGATAGACCATAGAATATAGCAAGTTCTCCTGCCTTTTAATTGCTTTAGTTATTATATTATTAACCTTCTATAAGTTTCAAAGAAATTTGTATTATTCTTTGCTTAAATAATTTTAAAATAGCTTCGATTCTCCAAACTTTCGTTCTTAGATTGCTTTTCATGCTGTGGATGTAAGCTCTAAGCCTATTTTTAAATTTGGTTGTTTCTACCTAAACTCTTAGATCTAAAAATCTTTTACCTAAAAATCAAAGGAGTGTTTCGAAGTTGCTGAGTACTCCTACTTTTGCCTTTGTCGCTCGATCTGCCAAAAATTGGAGTTTTGACAATTGCTGAATTCAGAATTTATCTAAAAGTTATCAATTAGCTGATCAGCTTGTTCCAATATAAATATTTCCTTTATCCCATTGTTTAAAGTTTTTGGTGATGCTCATAAACTGTAAAGTTTGTAAAGAACTTTTCAAAAATAAAATTTAAGTTGTTCTTACTCAACTCTCATATACAAACACCTATTTAGTTGCCTTCAGGCATTCTTCTACTAGAGAAAAGTGTATATAAAATGATTTAAAATTACAGCCAATTGTATGATGCCAGAAACTTGCAGGAGGCTAAGAACGCGTAGTTTTTGTATCTTAAAAACAAAGCAAATATAGTTGGAATCAATTCTCTTTCACTTTAAAACTATGCTTCTTCCTTGTAGATCTATTAAAATTTTGATTATGAGGAAATAAGGCGTACACCTTCTTCCTAAATTTTAGTATCAAGCGGCATAAAGACCTAGCTGGTTTTTAAACTTCTGGATATCTCTCTTTATGCTTGATAATTGGGTATCCCAGAAAATTACATCAGCCTGATTTAAAGCTTGGCTAAATCTGATTTGCTAAGAATGAAAATTAGAGTATTTAAATAATATGATCCAGATAAAACCTTGAATAAGATCCCAAACAAGGTTCAACTCTTTAAAACCTATTAAAGACAAGGCCATGGGATGAAATTATCTTAGAGATATAAAAATTGAACATTTATTTGATAAATAACTGCTTGAAAACTTTTTGAGAGTTTTATACTTCATGTAATTGTAAAACTGCTTTAGATATTTCTCTATTTAAAGCTTCCCGCCATATTGAGTGAGAGATCTTACTCATTTTCTTGCATCGATATTCAAAATAGAAGGAGTTTTTAATATTCTCTAACACAACTACAAGGCAGACCTGAACATTTGTTTGATGTCTTTATCACAAAGTCACTCTGATTTTTCTTTGTATCGCTATGTCATTCAGGAAACTTGTGTTAAACTCAGAAGGAACGAATGAATTTATACATGATACTTAATCTTAATTTATTTTTTTCAGATCCCAAGATTACTAAGCATAACCTTCATATATTTAATATACTTATTCAACCCTTACTTTTGCAGATCTAAAGCACTTCTAGATATCTGCTGCTTAATTAATGCTTCAAATATGTCTAAAAGATACAAAATGAGTAATATTAACTGTATTGCTTCTTTGAAAAGAGTCCTTAGAAAATACTTTAGCATGAAGAGTAAATAACTCCAAGAAGGCGTATAAAATGCTCTGAGGCTATATAAAAAAACTGCTTGCTCTAACTTAAGATTTAGCATATCACTATATCGGTTTCATTAAGTAATATTTATCTTTGAAAGGAACTTTCTTAGTGATATGTGTTTTATATATATTATTAAGTCTTCAAGAATTTCTTGTCATAAGCTTTCACTCACCTTTAATGAGATATTATTGAATGCTGAAAATTTAGTTGCTAATAAAAGGTTCATATGGATAAAACAAAACATTCTTTAAATTACTTTATAGTGATAATCATCAAAATGATGTACATCTTTGAGGAATGACTTTCGAGCCTGGTACCAGTTCACCATTATATATTGGGTCCAATTCTTTAACCTCAAGTCCAGACATATGGTCTAAAACTCCTGGGTCAATCTCTTCAAGAATATATAACTTTGGAAACAATGAAAAGTTTGGAAAAATGGCTTACACTTCAATCGGGGCCTTATTGGTAAGCAATTTTACTAGTTAAAATCTAACCTTCCTTGGAAAGTAAACTGTTTGCATACAGATTTATAAAATTATGATGAGCATTTCATTAACAGGTTTAATTATTATTTATGTGAAAATGATGATTTGTTTCATTGGAGATTTAATAGTGCGATTTTTATTGACTGGCTAGATTTTAAGTAGCATCAGACTCGAGTTTGGAAAAATAGGGTGAAAGTTAAAGATTTGATTTGGTATTGATTTTGGAAAATAGTGGTTGGTATTGGAAGTTAATGATGAAGTTGAGTGGCTCTCTAAAGTAACTAAGAAACATCTGTATTTTTATAAGTAAGGATATAATTAGAAATTCATCCCTCATATTTTAATCTGAGAACAGATTACTTTAAGATTTAGAAGATTATTTTTTAGAAAGGTTTAATTCAAGCTGAATTCCTAGCATCTCAAATGAGCTGAAACTATACTCAAAATTTGATTTCCCACTTTGCCTCAATATTTGGAATTCCTTTTAGTGAAGGCAACATTAAAATCGTTGCATAGAAATGAAACCTTCCTTACTAATTTCAAAAGCTGAGTTAGATTCTTATTCTAGAACTGGCGAAAGTAACCCGTATTAGTTGTAAGATCTGTAGTATTCAAAAATTTCAAGAGCTTGAAACCTCTCAGAAAATCAATCCGAATAAGAATATTGCTGTTATGCTATTAAATGAGGTTCTTGTCAGGTTTGAATTGTTAAATTTGAAAGATTTTTATTGTTGAGAGCTTCAAAATATATTTTACAAGAAGTGGTAGGATAATTATTATGTAAAATGTTTGATCTAAAAATGGTAAATAATGGTTAATAATTGGAATAGATTTTAAATTAGCTTAAGAGGCTAAACTTCCATAACTTTTTATAATTAACAAAGAATTATGGATTTAATCTCCAATTAAAATTCCATCAAATTAAATACAGTTGCAGCTGAGTGATACTACTCATAACAAATTCAATGGGTCGGACATTTCCTAACTTGCTCATATCCTTACTTTCTAACCCTCTAAACCCAAAAAAAGTTGCTAAATTTTCCAACCTTTACCATCTCCAACCCATTCCCCCTAAAACCACCCAATTACCACCCTACACTAATCAAAAATTACCCCTCCCCAATCACTCCTTCCCTCTAAAATTTTCCTTCCTCTCTAACCCCATTCCCATCCTCTGTCCCGTCCAAACTCCCCAAACTTCCTTCACATCACTAGTTTTATACGGGAGAGAACCTAACTGGTTGTATAGCTTCACCAGCAAGTGAACCAGGACTTGTATATGTCCCTTCTGTATCTAACTCCAACAACTGAGAGCAGAAACCTTCATTATTTTGTGAAATATATTTGCCCAATTGGCCACTCATGTTCGAATGATTTTGAAGGGTCTCATGTTCTTGTAAACCCTTCTAATAGTTCAGATGGATATGCTTTACTTGAGTATTCAGACGATACAGATAAAATCACATATTTTATATTTGTCAGAATGGACCTTTCGAGTAGAGCACTTATTAAAGAATATGCAGTGGCAAATTCTACTATCCAGGGTTTTTATAGTATGAGACTTTATCAAGATAATATGTACTTCTTAGTCTCTGTTAAAACGGCATCAGGAAATATTGGAAACGAGCTTCTTATTTTTGATACAACTTCAACCTCTACACCATTTAATAGTCTTCATCAATGTTGGAATAGTAATGATGCAACGGTAAGAAATTTCTAGTATCTGTTAAACATCTGTCTCTTAACTTATTAGACTACTTGCCAAAGCCAGTACTCTACCACCGCTACTTTCATTGCAAACCAAGGCCTACTGACCCAAATGGTAATAAACAAAGGGTAAGTTTCCAGACTCCTCCAAAACTTAAATTCTTTCAACTTTTTCTCTCCTTGTTTTGCTCCCTTAATTTTAAACCCTGATTTCTTAAGTGAACATCAAAGCTTAATTAAACCATTAAAAATCAAAAGTAACAAGCAAAAGCATATTGCTAAATACTATGTATACAATACGATTTCTATCCTTAAAATAAATTAAAATTCTCCTTTAATGCAGAGAAGTACTTCTAGTGTAGCCAAACCGAAGGGTTAAAGTATTCTCATATAATTTCAAGGACATAATAAGTGTTAAGATTATCTTTAATTAATGCTTAAAAAGAACTAAGAGCTGCCTTTAGCAAGATCTGAGCCTCTAAAACATAGAATTTTAAGCGAAAAGTATCTTTATCTGTTCAAAGTGGTAGCCAATCTGCTTAACTGTTTTATCTAGAGCCTTCATATTCTTTGGGAAGTATAAAGGAAGCTGAGTCAGAATCAAAGCCAGTGATCTCGGTAAGATTAACTTTGGAGCTATTATGTTTGTGGTTTATCGAAAATTTAGTTTAGAGGAAATGGTTTTAATTCCATTGAAGATAATTTTGTGTATTAATCTTTTGGTCAAAGGCGGTTGGAAAATATTTTAATGTGGCAAATGATTCTATCAGGTATTATCATTATTTTGCTTAATAATTAACATATCTAAAAATATAATAAGAAAATTAAGATAATAAGTCTCATATCAATTCTATATAAATTCTTAAATACCTTAGCAGAAACAAAGCAAATTAAATACTTTCTTCAATTTCCCTTGATAAATCACTCAAATTTTTCCCAATAAAATCCTATCTCCCTCCACCTAGCCCCAAAACCTTCCTCAATCCTCCCATCCCCCCTACCCCATAACCCCCTCCTCCTCTAGTTTCCCTCCAAAACACCCAAGACTGGGACAACAAGGCTTCCTCCACTACAGTAATCTCCCTCTAACCCCTAGTATTTCACTGATGTCTCCTCTCTGACTTCCTTCCCCTTTGGCTGAGGAAACAGTTCTACAGCTGTCAAGGCAAACAATGGTTATGGCTGGTTTACCGGAGCATCTTTTGTTACTGTTGAGCAGAACCAGAGTAGTATCATTGGTCAAGATCAGGTATTGTAGAGTAATTTAGTTTGTAGGATTTTGCTGTGGAATCGAGCTTAAGTATTGATTTTAACAAAGGAGAGGAAGGAATACAAAATTCAAGCATCACATGAGGGCAATAGTATTTTTATCTAACTTTTAGTGATATATTCAGATTCCGATACAGCATCACCAGCGTTAGTGACTCCGAAGTGTACAACCTGATAAAAATTGACCCATATACTGGTCAAATTTCCTTTACCTCCACTGATTATGGAACAGAAGATAGACGTAAGTAAAAGATATAAACTCAAAAAAGATTGGATTTATATATAGATGTGGTTTTAATAGCTTATTATAGATTTCACTGCAATCATAAGTAAGACTTCCAAAAGAGATCCAGTTAAATTTTGGTTTAAGTTTGGGTGACAACTTCAGGTGGTTTAAGATTTAGCTAAGATGAGATCTCATGATTAAATGATTGGGTATTAGTTTTAGAAATCCAATCCGGTTTATTTCTTGAAAAATATGCTAAAACAAATATGCTGCGAAGAGTAATTTAGACTTAAACGTTCATAGCTATTTAATTTTAGAAATCAAAAGAATTTACAGCGAGATATTTTTCTTCTGATTAAACCTTTCTCAATTATGAAATTGGGACTGATCTTGACTTGCTTTAGGGATTTGTTCTGATTTTTATTATTATAGGAATACCAATATTTTCTCTGAAAATTTTATATATTATCACCTCATATTTTTTTAATTAAAAAAGATTTACCCAAAATTGGGTGCTGCTTTTAAAATGCTTTTTATACAACTTTTTCTAACTTTCTATGGTAAACTGATTATCCAAAAATTATGAACTACAAAGAGAAATTACTTCAAATGAGGCACTCATAAACTGTTATTTACTTTAAAACTGTTATCATTTGGATTATATATACCTTCCTTTTTGAATTTAATCACAAACTCGAATCTGTAATCAAAACATTATAGCTATAAGCTCGCCTTATTTTGGAGATGGGATAATTATCACCATTCCAATCACAGTATCTGAGGTATTATGCTTGCTAATTTTAGGAACATGAGTTCACTAAGCAACTAGAAGAACAGCAAAGAGTATTTCGTATAGCTTTAGGAATATCTCTTGCTGTTGGAAGCATCTCTGCATTCATGCCAAAATCTGAATTTAAGGTCTTTGGATGATTATTAATCAGTATCAGCTTTTGATGCTCCTTACAATGATCGACACTGCTATACATCCTGATATTAGGAGGGTTATATATTCTGCTAGTTTCATAGCTTTAAATTTTGAAGAATTAAACATCACAAATGCTCTTGGAATTGATGAAGAGCTGAATAAAATGGAAAGGAATCATACTAACCAAGATTGAATGAACTAGGTTTTCCAATTCTCTCTTCATTCGTGACCAACATAAATGTGTTCCTTTCTTTGACCCTTACCTTAATTCTACACATTTTTGCCACAATCTGCCTATGCATAATCAGGACATCAATCAAAGAGTGTAAAATAGACAATGAAATAAGAAGGTTGGAGAGGGATCGAAATAAATCAACCGATCATAATCAATAAAATCAATGAATGGCCCGTGACAATGGTAAGAGAAAAGAAAGTTTTTATTTTAGTTTTCTATTATTACTGTTTCTTAAATAATAATTTTAATGCAGTGTTCCAATTGATATTTCTGCTGATTTCTACTTTCAGAAAATATGTATAAGAGTTTTGGGAGATTTTAGTTTTTGCCAAATATTCACCCATTTGTTATTATTTATTAAATTAAGCATGATTGTGGAGGCTTCTTTATATGTAACAATCCTCCTTGAGAAATTCTACAGTCTAAATTACCATAACCCTTCTGAAGTTTGCATGTATTTTATATTTTAACTCAAATTTCTTTCAGACGATATCCAAATAATGAATACTCTACATCACAGAAAGAAAAATACTACTCGATGTAAAACTTTATGATGTTGTTGCTTTTGAAAACCATGAAAAGGTTGACGCAAGTCAGTTAAAAATTGTTGCGCTTGGTTAGCCAAAACATTCAAAAGCTGGCAGAATAAAATCCATAAATACTTCCCACACAGGTTCTTCCTAAGTATCTACTGAATGACAATAATGGAGACTTTATTTATTATTTCAGTAACTGCAGGAAATGAGCTGAAGGTGTATGATGATACTAACGACTACTTAAAGAGATCAATCAGAATTTCTATTGCTTTACTGTCACTATTAGCTACATTTATTGTGTTCTTGTTTATTTACTTTTTCATGCACTGTAAAACTAAAATATCTGAAAAGAGCAAAAAACCAGGAATGTATTTTGAGAGTAAGTTTAAATTAAAACTCATGAAGTAATCATTTATAGTCCTATTTTCAGAACTTAAATCAGGAATTGGAAGAATTTACAGCGCATTGATGCTGTTCAGAAAATTTGCATTCGTTTGTGTTGTGTTTTTACCGTCTCTAAATTCAAATTGGATATTTGGAATCCTAATCGTCATTCAGGTAAGGAAGCAACCTTGTAAATTAATATAATTATGCCAGACTGAGCCATACATGAAACTTATAATATCTAGGTTTATTAGACTGCACTCAAATAAAAGTGAAATTATTATTTCTCTATTATCTTTTCTCTAAATTTGCATATTTCTTATAATTTATTGATCTACTTTAAGAAAGAGTTAAGATCGGAATCTATTTATATAGTAAAAATATTCAGAATAATTTCGTGATTATAATGTTCCAGATAAATGGCATTGCTCATCTCAGGTTTTAATTGAACTATGTCATGAGCTGTATAAATTTTGAGGGTCAGAGATTTCTTAGTGCTTCATACTTTGAAGAATTCCATAACTAGATCTTACTTATAGTTCTTCTACTGGATGCAAACAATTAAATTTCCAAAATTTGAGAGCGTTTCCCTTCGTCTGATGAATATCATAAATGAATCAGTAATTGGACTAATAATTATAATATTGTCAATATGGAATGAAAAGAATAATTGGGATGAAAGTAAATTTTTGATAATCTTTTTAGCCAATACCCCAACAATGAAGACAGTCATTATGTATGGAATTATAGGGAATACATTGATGCTAATATTCATCCAATCAGTAAGAATATATCACATGTTTAGGTTTTCATCCTTTACCATATTATTAAAATGTATAAAGACTATTTCCCATCAGAGTAAAAATACTTTCTTAACCCTAATAGCCAAGCTGTTCAAACCGCAAGAGACAACAGAGAGGTAAACCCCCTTCCTTCCCTCTAACCCCTCTACAGGAAAACAAGAGCTCCCAAGACTCATCAGGCTCCTAATCTCTATTCCTCCATTCACCCCAAACCCTCCCGTAGGCTAAATTCCTAAAATCTATTTCAACTGGCACTCATCACCCTGGGGTTTTGGGGTTTTGGGGTTTTGGGG